CTTGAGATCCTGATAAGCCAGGTATGTCTCGACCACTCCACCAATACCTCCRAAGACGCTCTCCACTACGAACGTCGGAATTATCGCCCGCAGGCTCCTAACGCTGTACGGGAAAAACTCGTCTCGTGCTATTACGAGCTCGCCCGTGATATCAAGAGGAGGGCGTCCGTGAAATAAGGTCAACGGGTCGCTCGCGTCCTCCGCTCGGAAAGCAGCCACCTCTTCCCCTAGGTAGCGTAGCGCCCTGCTAACCGCATCACTACTCCCTATCGTCGCGAGGCCCACCACGACCTCTTTGGCCGCACCCGGTCCCAAATACAAGTAGGCTCTCACTACGCCCACTCCTTGTCCCGACCGGTGCTCTCTATACATCCAAAGCCACACGTCCTCGGACAGGATTATGGACCTCCACGCAAACTGGCCGTCAGCGTGTCGAATGCTGCGTCCGGGGATCGTGAGCTCGACCAGATCCCCCTCTATGAGTTCAGGGGGGTCTAAGTCCCAGTCGATGGTAGCCCCATAGACCTCTACTTGCACCCGCGGCCACATTCAACTGGCAGGTAGAGAGTGCGCGGCAAGCGGAAGGTGTAGATTAATGACTGAAACTTCGCGTCGCTTCCCTCACGCCTTCGAGAACAAGCTAGTAGGTTCACCTGAAACCAGGTTACCGCAACGTCTCTTTCCCTTCTTCTTCTAGGGAACTCTCTAGTATTTTTCAATTATAAATTAAAGAAAATGTATTTAGTTAAGTTAAATTTTCTTTCTTAGTTTATATATACATTAAGGATCAATATTTAAATAAGCCCGCCGAGTTTTATGCTTTTTAGGGGTAGAAATAAAATTTCGGGAGCGTTTCGCCTCCCCCCGTTGGGATGGGGTTCGGGACTATTGTCCCTGGACAAATGCTACCTACCCAGAACTAAAGCCAAATGAAACAAGAGGATGGCCGCTGAAGGAAACAAATTTCTAACGTATTTTTATTTAATTTCTCTAATCGCTTTCAATATATATATATATATATATATATAAAAGGATTAATAATTTAAATTAGAAAAATTTTGCGGAGTTCCGGCTGCATTCTGGCTCCCCCCCGTTGAGGTAGGGTTTAGCCGAAGACCTCAAAATGATGTTCAACAATAAAGATTAAGAATCTCAATTTTTAGCTAATTTTTAAGTATTTTCTTTAATTATTTAAGATTT